GCATCATCTTCCCCAAGTCCTTCCCCTGCCCAGCTTCTCTCCAGCAGGCAAGTTTCCCTGTCGGCGGGGGGAGTGCTGCCCATCCAGGTAGGCCCACACATGGGGATGGGAGAGCAGAGGAGAGCCAGGGCCCACTGGTCTGGCACCTCCCTGAACCTGAAACTCGGAGGCCAAGGTCATGGCGAGGCCCAAGTGAAGGCAGGTCACGCCGGGACTGGGAAGGTGCGGCTGTCTCCAGGCGGTGGCCTTGGGCAGATTCGTAGATCAGTCAGTCACATGAACGAAGACAGAGCCAGGCACAGTGGCTCATGCCGGCGATCCCAGCACTTTGGGAGGCTGAGGTGGAGCCCGGGAGTTTGACAATGAGGTCCTCTGGGATGGGCTGGTGTCCTGAGGAAGGGGGAGTCTGGCAGACACGCTCTAGGAGAACACCAAGGGAACACGAGCATGCCACCTCCAAGCCCAGGACAGGGGCCGGGGACAGCTCCTCCTGGGTCCTCAGAATGGGCCAGCCTGGCTGACATGTGGACTGTGAACGCCCAGCCTCCACAGGCGGTGAGATTGTACATTTCAGCCGCCCCGTCTGTGGCCTTTCAACAAATGGAGCACAGCCTATGAGAGCCCCTGTGCCACGCAGGCTCATGTCCGAGAGCCACAGGGTGGGGGCGGCGGCCCCCAGTGCTCATGCCTGCAGGGCAGACAAGGGCGTTGAGGGCGCTGCTCCCCTGTCCCTCTCTGTAGATGTGGCTGGTTGCCTTGCCTGTCCCGCATCTGCACAGTCCTGGTGCCCCAGCAAAGGTCTCTCCAGGAAACATGCCCGAGGGCAGCTCTGGGTGTGCAGTTTGCAAACGCTCCGCTTCGCCAGATGAGGCCAGGTCTCACTCCAGCGCAGCTGGACTCAGGCAGGTCCCGGGCAGCGGGGGACTGCATTGCCCGCTGTACCGGCTGCTGGTGCTGGGCACGGTGGGTGTTTCCACCTCTGGTGTTCCAGTGAGCCGTCGGCAGCGTCTCCCCCTCGCTTCCCAGAGCAGGCTGCGCACATCAGCCTCAGGGGTCTCCTCCTCCGTGGCCACCTCCTCGGGGAGCCGAGCTCCTCCTGATCCTTCTTATCTGCTCTTGGTCGGTGACAGAATGGCAGGTGCCTTCGCTACCCATCAGCTTGCCTTCTCACTTTCTTAAAGGTCCATCTTTGGATAAACAGCAGTGTATCTGGGAGTCACTGAATCTGTCAATCTTCGTCTTTCTGGTTTGTGCTTTTTAATAAAGCATCACTTAGCCTTGGGTTATAAAGACATTCTCCTGCTTTGTGTTTACAGGCTGCCAATTCTCTTTCCCACACAAATTCCTAGACATGTGGCAGACAGAGGAGCAGCCCCAAAGGCACCTGCATCCTCAGCCCTAGAGCCTGTGACTGTCCCTCCTGCGGCAGAAGGAACACTCAGGTGGGGCTGAGTGAAGGCCCTGGCACGGGAAAGCATCCTGGGTAACTGGGGGCTCAGGCTCCTCCCAGGGTCCTCACGAGAGGAGGGAGGAGGGTGAGCGGCAGAGAGGCTGGGAGAGGCTGCGCTGTGGCTGTGAAGGGGAGGAAGGCCACCGAGCCGAGGGACGTGGGTGCCTCTGGGCGCTGAGAAAGGTGGGAACAGTTTCCCCCCGGAGCCCCAGGAGGAAGCCGCCTGCCCGCGGCCTGATTTCAGCCCAGTGAGGCCTGCGTCACACTTCTCACCTCCAGAGCTGTGAGAGAAGGGGTGTGCTGTTTTACGCCACCAAGGTCATGGTGGTTCACGTCGGCGGCCACAGGGTGCTCAGAGGCCGAGGCGTGGACAGCGGGAGGGAAGGCCTCCAGGTCTCACAGCACGTCCGCTGCTCCAGGATCCCTATTCTTAGACCTGTCATCTTCGCCGGGGTCCTGCAGCTCCGTGGGAAGCCCGGCTTTTGCGAGGGCGGCCCTGGCCTCTTGGTAGGCCCTGGGTTTTTATCCACCTGCACTGAAACCGGCGAACGCTGCTGGGATCCCGAATGCGGCCGCACTGAACCTTCGGATGACGCGGGGACAGCTGCCGTCTGTCTGCTCAGGGGCGCTCCTGACACCTGGTACATCCTTCTGTTTCTTTAGCAATTCTTTCTTAATTCTTTTTTTTTTTTTTTTTTGAGACGGAGTTTCACTCATGTTACCCAGGCTGGAGTGCAATGGCGCGATCTCGGCTCACCGCAACCTCCGCCTCCTGGGTTCAGGCAATTCTCCTGCCTCAGCCTCCTGAGTAGCTGGGATTACAGGCACGCACCACCATGCCCAGCTAATTTTTTGTATTTTTAGTAGAGATGGGGTTTCACCATGTTGACCAGGATGGTCTCGATCTCTTGACCTTGTGATCCACCTGCCTCGGACTCCCAAAGTGCTGGGATTACAGGCTTGAGCCACCGCGCCCGGCCAATTCTTTCTTAATTCTAAAGCAAGTATCTAAGTTTCTCTGTAAAGATCATTTCTCATGAGGTATATTCCAAGATCCGTCTTTCTGGCTGCTAGCATCACAAGGGGCGTATCTTTGGGAGCCTTGTTTGCTGTGAGCGGCTCACATATGAGGAGTGAGATCGGGTTTCTGTGCCTGTGGCTCATCTCTGGCCACTCCCCTTGATCCCCGAGTCACCGTGTGGCTCCCCTGTAGACTGGCTTGCTGCTTCTTGTGGAGAATCGTGGCTGCACTTTTTCTTCCTACCCACGACGTCTTTTCTTTCCTCATCTTGCCTCTCTCGGCCGGTAGGCCCTCCCGAGGCGTCCTGAACAAACATGGGGCTGGCATGGCACACGAGTGGGCAGCTCATCAGAGTCACACTCGCCCCTGGCCTCTGCTCTCTCCCCGGGGGACACTCACTTTCCTCACCTCAGGGACACAGCCGCTGGCCAACTGTGACCCTCAATACCAGCCCCGTGTACCCAGGAGGGCAGGGACGTGCCTGCCTCTGGGAGTACCACTAGGGCTGTGATCCCATCGTTACAGGTCAGGTGCCCCATGGCTGCCCCTGGCGGGTGGGAGGGACCCACACCCGCTGAGCGCCCCATGGCTGCCCCTGGCGGGTGGGAGGGGCCCACACCCGCTGAGCGCCCCATGGCTGCCCCTGGCGGGTGGGAGGGACCCACACCTGCTGAGTGCCCCATGGCTGCCCCTGGCGGGTGGGAAGGGCCCACACCTGCTGAGTGCACAATGGCTGGGCCTCTCGCCACATTCTGACAACATTCACCTTGGACACCAGCATGTCCTCGAGACCTGACGCCTCAGAGATGGACCATGCCGTGCCGGGCTCATACAGAGGAAAACTGAGAACCAAGACCCCTTGGTGAATGTGGTCCCATGACCTGGGCCTGAGGCATCACGACTGGGGGCAGCCCTGAGGGGAGGCGGGCTGGCCGGCACACCCCACGCACTCCCTGCCTGGCGCCCAGAAAGGGTGGGAGAGGGATGGGCTCCCTGCTGGGAGTAGCCACTTTGTGCAGACTCCCAGAAGCTAAAGCTCTAAACCGGGCAGTCAGAGCCAGCCCTCTGCTCAGCGGTGGCCATGGCCACTGCAGGCGCGTTCCAGCGTCTGGGCCACACGCAGCATCTTAGTTTGTATTTTTTGGGGGGGAGGGGTGTATGTGTGTGTGTGTGTCTGTCTGTTTGGGGGGTGTGTGTGTTTTGGGGTGTGTGTGTGTTTGGTGTATGTGTGTATGGGGGTGTTTAGGTGGGGGGGGTGTGTGTGTGTGCATGCGCGCGCGTGCATGTCTGGGATGTGTATGTCGGAGGGTGTGTGTGTGTTTGGGGGTGTTTGTGTGTGTGGGGGGTGTTTAGGGTGTGTGTGTGCGTGTGTGCGTGCATGTCTGGGATGTGTATGTCAGAGGGTGTGTGTGTGTTTGGGGGTGTGTGTTTGTGTGTGTGTGGGGTGTTTATGGTGTATGTGTGTGTGCATGTCTGGGATGTGTATGTCGGAGGATGTGTGTGTTTGGTGTATGTGTGTGTGTGCGTGTCTGTCTCGGGTGT